TTTATATAGATTGTATATAGATTTATATAGATTGTATAAGGTTTGTACGTACCAACTATCATGATTTAATGTTGTACTTTATGCGTTTTATGTTAACGATTGATGTATAAAGTAAAGCGCATGTACTTTATTTTATTTTACAATTGGTAAAGTAATACCCAAAAGTTGAATAATTATCTATTGTTTCATCCAAATATAGTGAGTGCTTAGATAAAATGTCACCGAAAAAAAATATTGATACAAATCTTATGGCTGTCCACGTGCAAAAACGCACGGGATGGTCTGTGCGTCGTACGCATAATTATATCGTGATTTATTGTGATACTAAGCAATCTTTTTATAGAAATCTCATATTTAATTTTAATGTGCTCAAAATACGCAAGTAAATATAATTTTTAATTACGCGCATGACAATAACCGTCAAATTTGATTGCATGCTGTTATGATCAATGAATGTCGAGAAAAAGTTTTCATAAAGAAAAATTTAAAAATAATTATTTTCATACACAATAACTCGTCATCAAAATCTCAAAATCTCGTCACTAATTTATCAGTAAATTAATTGTCAGGGTTGCATTTGTCAGATGGTGCATACTTAATACCGAAGTTATACCGAGTTATGCTGAATTATACTGAACTATACTGAATTATATTGAATTATATTGAAATTGTATAAAATTACTGCATAACAAAAATTCCCGAGTCAGAACCGTGTAAACTGATTAACAATAACAATTAATCAAATTAATTTAAATTAATCAAGTCATTTAGTTTTAACAGATGCATTTCATCATTTTGGAGTTACTTTAATTTAGTGCAATTAATCAGTCGACTTTTTTTAACAGATGCATTTAATCTTTGTTAAATTATTTCCTCCAATCCTTCTTAACTGTTCTTAAAATATATCATGTTAATTTATTAATAAATTTAATAAATTTAATAAGTTTGTTAATAATGCATTATCAAATTTTTAATATTTCCTTCAATAGATAACAATAAGTAATGATAAACGACAATAGGCCATCATAAGTAGTAATAATAAGCAACAAAAATGTAATAAATAAAGTTTTGATCGAATAATATTAAAAAAATCATTGACTATAGTGGTCAGATTACGTGATTTTTCCTATGAAATCTAATTTGTAAATATGAAATTTAATTTGAAATATGAAATCTAATTTGTAAATATGAAATCTAATTTGTAAATATGAAATCTAATTTGTAAATATGAAATCTAATTTGTAAATTACAAAGACACCCAGTTTAGGAAATATCACGTCAAAGAAAATATTTTTATACGTAATTAATATAATTAATCAAATCAAATCAATATCAATTTCAATTTTTGATTGATATCATTTCTTAAAAAGTTTAACTACACCACATTATTATTACATTATTATTACATTATTATTACATTATTATTACATTATTATTACATTATTTAATATTATGTTTATTTTTTTAAGTTAGTGAAAATGCAAAAGGGCTGAAATTATTATTCACCCAAACATTTTATTGATTGTATTTATCCAAACATTTATTGTGCCCAAACATTTATTGTATCCAAACATTTATTGTATCCAGGCATTTATCCAAACATTTTTTTTTTCACAATTGCGTTTGATCTGAACCAATAGCGCGTAAAAAACTTTACATTTTTATTGATATAAAACACTTTCTTTTTAGTATATATGCGTGTTTAATACACACGCCATACAGTGAGCACAGTGTGTACACTTTTTAAATTCTATACAAAATCATAAATTTTCTAAATAAGGTACATTCAATCCAGTTCTTTATGATGCATGTAACGTGTAAATGTGTATATGTGTAAATGTATAAACGGAGTCACATAATAATAGAGCTGCCGATAGGGAGTAAGTATTTAATAATACATATATCAAATGCATGCTTTTTTAATTCATGTAAGCATGTCCCGAAAATCATGTATCTTCAATAAAATCATATGAAAATAGTAAAAAACCAAATCCGTATTTTTATAAGTTCCTGTTACCTTTTAAATCCTGTTCTTCAATATTGGAAAACAAGACTTTTTGAATCTTTAAGTAAATTTAATGCAAGTATGCACTTTGCTTATATTTGATGAATGTAATTGTTTCAAAGAATACAATGTCATCCAGGAGTTCATAAAACTAAAAAAATAAAAATACCATTAATTGAGATTATTCAAAAAGCGGAAAAAAAACTTGGAAAAAAATTTTTTTTATTAACCGTTGTAAGCAGGGGAAAGTAAATCATGCATGATTTATGATTTAGAGACTCCTTCAAAGTCCATTTTCGTTATATGCTTACCTAACAATACTAGTGACATATAGAATAATATACTAATAACAACGAATAATATAGTGTGTGAATAATATTAGTTTAATAACCGAGTAATAACCGAGATAATATAAATTTGAAGAATCATTAAAAATTCCAAATTATACCTTGTTTATTAATTAATATTTTAAAGGAAGGTGACTTACCATAATATAATTATCTCTTTTGTATATTACCATTCACAAAATTACTATATCCTTTTAGGTCGCGTCAAAAATAATTTACTACGCTTTGTGTTCCAATTTAGTGTTGCACATGCGTCAAATCAACCTCATATGACAGATAATTCTAAAAATGGTATTTAACCAAAGTAAAATTTAAATACGTATCATATTACGTAAAAATATTTCTAGAATTAGTAAAAAAATTGATAAAATAGAAAATTGTATTGTGTGGTATGTATGTATGTACGTTACCATTTTTTTTTATTTTACCAATCATAAATAATTTTAAAAAATGGTAAGTAAAAATTTGTACGTATGTAATCAAAATAAACATTTACTGTGGATTATATGTATGTATAACTTTATACAGTAAAAACGGAATAACCCTCGCTTGTTTTGTCTGTAGTTATATCTATAGTAATATCTATAGTTATGTCTGTAGTTACTGTATGTCTGTATGTAAGGGAAAAAAAAACAATGAAACGTTTAATGAAACAAATCCTTGATACAAAGTTTCTTATCGCGATTTATTAATGTAAAAATAAATAGCATTAATTATAAATATTTAATTGTCATCAAAACATTAATTGTCAAAATATTAATCGTCAAAATTAATTGTCAATCTCATTTAAATAATAATTATAATAATTAATCGTCAGCATTTAATCATGATTTAGTATCTTACACAATTTATGACAAATAAATTTTTGATAGATAAAGTAAAGATATTGTGTTAAATAACGTTGAAATATATATGTACGTCAACTATTTTTGCATTGTCTGAGGTAAGTCAAAAAGATGTACAAAGGGCATGTCCGAATAAAAATCTCTCACATAATCATAATCTTGAACTTTTTAGCATAGTAAACGCATACAAAAAACAATTTTTAGAAATTGATTTCAAAAATTGAAACACTAAAAAGTAATCAAAAAAAATTTTAAGTAATCAAAAAATTTATCATCAATTTATAATCTAAATGTGAGTAAATAATACATGAATAAATGATAATTTTTGTGCATGGCGTTACGAAAAGAGTGAAGATCCTAAGAAAATGTATACAATTAAGAAATGTGCCGCCATAATCTTAATTAAGACATGCGTTCAAAGAGATACCCTGAATTTATGTACAATAATTATTTAGAAATAATTTTCCGAGATTTCTTTTACTAGTAAAGTATATCTTCAGTGTCAAAGTATATAACGAATTTTAACGAGAAATCAAATAAATAAAATTTTTAAGCCTTGCATACAGGCTTCTCTATGTGCATGTTCTCTAAGTTTAGTTCAAGTATATAGTACAGTATTTAAATTTAATTCTCTCTAAATGCAATTTTTAAATGCCGCACTTAAGAAAGAATCGATTGTATATATCAGATATTGTATATTAAATCATCAAATACACTGTGTATACAGTAACAAAAGTTTTTAAAGAACAAAGAAAACCAACGAACAAATCCAACTTTTATTATTTTTTAATCTTCTCTTTCTAATATTTAATATAAAATATATTTTTTTTTTGTAAAGAAAGAATGAATTTAATCTATTTCTCGCGGATAGAAATGATAAATAAAGTTGTTTTTTTCTAAAGAAAGAACGAATTTAATCTATTTCTCGCGGATATAAATGATAAATAAAGTTGTTTTTTTTTCCTAAGTGAATGTGAATTCAAGGAAGGGAGTTGATCTTTGAAGAGACTATACAACCAAAGTCTCGAATCCGATGAAGCTATTGTCAAGCGTTGTGCGCAGGGTGAGCGCGCTTGCCTTTTTTTTCCTTTATGAAAAAAAAAATCCCCCGAATTGCTTGGTGGTTTGCTAAATTTTATCTTAGTTTTACGTTGTGAATTTACGCTGTGAATTTACATTGTGAATTACTGAATTACTAAATTACTCGTGTGAACACGGTAGCAATAATACATTTCTGACATGACATAATATGATCAATAATAGGGTCGACACATCGATACACGTATGATAGTGTTTCCTTCCGTTCGCGATTCACTTTATCCAAAAAAGACAACAACACGAAATTCTAGAGTAGTGTAAAATTTATGTTTATATATATATATATATATCTTACAAATTTATTGCTCTACTTTCTAAGGAAGAAGAAAAAGAACAACAGAAAAAGAGAGAGAGAAAAAAAAAAAAAAGTTGGAAATGACTGTAACGAAAAGAAGAAAATAGTTCAGAAACAAAGATAATAATAAATAAAGATTGTTCATTGTAAATACATTATAAAAAAGGTGGGAAAAGGTGGAAAAAAAAAAGACATTTACATGATTTAATTTAAAAAAAAAAAAAAAAAAAAAAAGAGAGGAAAAAAAAACAAAAAACAAACCCAAAAAAAAAAACCCAAAAGCCAAAAACCAAAGAAAAAAGAAAACCTTTTTTATATTTGATATTTCTTCTTTTCATATTTTTTTTTGATTTTTTTTTTTTTTTCTTTCTCAATAAAAAGTATATAATAAAAAGTATATAATAACAATTTTATTGGATGTGATGATTCACAGAACCACCCAAGAGGTTTTGATACTCGTATCCTGCGAGAAAATTGACAAACGTTTGATTGCCAATAACATTACCAGCAGTATTTGTTTCATTATGGAAATATTGAGTAGGTTGTTGCGGATATAGGGAGGTTCTTTCATTAGGGGATGGATTGTTTGAGGATGAAACGGTTGGTGTTGGTGTGATTTGATGATGTTCGTAATGAAGCATTGTTTCTGCATTCATCTGTTGTTGTTGTTGTGCCACATCTGGAACATCAGGAGCAAAATAATATTCTAAAGGATATCCATTTGCTCCTTGATTATAGGAAATTACGGATGTGAAAGGGAGTTGCGGAGTATTTCCTTGATTATCATGATAAACGTAAAGGTTTTGTCCATATTGTTGTTGATGACGTGCTTTAAATTCTTGTTCACATTGTACTTGTGGTGGAGAAATCGGAGTAAGCGGTAAATGAGATGTAACGGAATTAATTTGTTGTTGAGATCCGTATTCTGCATGAGGATCCACCAATGTAGGAATCTCCGGACTAGGAATAAGTGTAGCAAATGATGAATTTGAGGGCACAGAATTATTTCGGGATGTATCATTTCTAGAATTAATATTTGATTGTGACATATCATTAATAGATGATTGTTGTAAGCCTTCGGGAAAATCCGACTTTGCAGGACTTTTATTTCCATTTCTTGTTGACTTCCTTCTTTGAGGACCGGTGGTAGCACCAGATGAGATCGAGTAACTTCTATTATCAGTTGAATCTCTTGGAGAAGATTGTTTACGTTGCTGTCTACGTTTATCTATTTTAGATTTATTTTTATTAGGACGATAAACATAATTAGGATATGTTTGCATATGTTCGAGCTTTTTACGATCCGCATATCTCTCCCATTCTCTACGAGTTTCTTCAGGTTCACTTCTCCACATTTCTGAAATTCGCCTAGAAACTTCAGCATTTGAGAGATGTCTATTAGCGGCGATAATTGCAGGTTGTTTTTCTCTACGATATAAGATAAAGGCATTTGGAGGTCTTGGAATTCTCTTTTGAGGAAGACTACTTCTTTGGCCAGGTTCATCACTTGAATCACAAGAACCTTGTTGTAAAAGTTCACCGCCAGCTGCAGCTCCAGCTGCAAGTACGCGTGTGGTGGTAGAAAAGTCAGAAGTACAGTCATGAAACATATCTAAATTATTAACCAATGAACCAGCGTTACGAGAGGATTCATAAGAAAGATGGTTGTTCAACGTGGAAGAGTCAACTCCCTGCGTTGACAAATTATTAATGATAATATCATTGCTCCTTGAAGTTTGAGATCTTGTGGATACAGTTGGAGCATCGAACATCAAAAGACCACAATGTATTCTTCTTTCTTCAGCGTTCATGGTGGGTTCTTTTTTTTTTTTTTAATAAAACGATTGAAACAAAAAAAAAATTTTTATCTTTTTTCTCTTCTTTTTACAAGTGAATGTGAATGTGAATGTGAATGAGTCGATATTAGCTAACTCTATTGTGAAAGAACCGGACGGCTTAGTTCTCCACTACAGAGGGTTGCTAAAGTGAGCTAAAAGGGATTTAATTTTGACACTATTATAATAATTGTGTCAGTTGGTTTATCTTTGTACTTTGTATTTGTACAGAATATGAGTGGGTTCCGTCCACAATTTAAGGATAGCAAAATTTTAAAGGTTATTCGGTTTCTACAAGTCCATAATAATAGAGAAGGAGCGACACACGGCCATATTTATAATAAACAAGCTTATATACCAGATGTGTTACAAAAATACAGCATATTATTCATTATATTGTAATCGTTATACCTGTATACATATGTATGTTGATTGCTTCATCTATAAAAAAAAAAAATTTTTTTTTTATTTATTAATAGACAATTATAAAACTTTTTTTTTCAACACCCCCCCAAAAAAAAGAAGTGTAGAAAAAAAATATATATATATTTATTTTATATAAATTTCTATATAACAGATAATTTTAAAATTTTTAATACTTTCGGCCTAAAGTATTTTGTTATAAAAAATTGGATTAATTATATAAAAAATTTACATTTAACTTTCTTATGAAGAAATTTTCCGCGGAGACAATTGATAAGTCATATGTCAACCAAGTTCTTGATCACTTTTCTTGACCTGCAATTCCTGACTCCACTTGTCTCCACTTGTTCAAGATCTATTTGGTTTAAAGCCGTTTAGTTAGGGAAGAAAGGAACAATCAGTTATTTAATAATATAATTTACTTTGACTTGTTATAATTAAAGTAAAACCAGTGTGATAACAATGAGTTCGAAGACTTATTGTTTATATAAGACGAGTAGTGATATAAATAAAAAAGGTCACCGGAAAATATATAAAGGGGCTTTTTTTTTTTTTTATGATACGTATTATTAAGGCATTTTATTAATTAAGAATATTTATAAAGACATATTTATTAAGAAATTTATTGGGACATTTATTATTAAGACATTTAATAAAAAACTTTGTGATAATTATGATACGACTTTAATTCACGTGGAATAATTTTTTTTTTTTTACTCGAGTTAAGTAAAATTTAAAGTAATCGCGTTCTAACCACGAATAATCCCTTATTACACCAATAAAGAGAAGTTGTGTTGTAAATAACCTTAACGTTCACATATATAAAGAAGCAACATGACTAATTTATAATTAAGAATGGATTAAACTGACACTTTATTTCTGATTTATAATAAGTAATATATTTAACCTTTATTTTATATATATGTATACGATAAACAACTGATATATATATACATATATATCATATTTATATGAGATATATATATGATATTTATCTGTTATACAGTATATATAGTACTCAATGTACATATATATATTTTATATTTTACACAAGACAAAAAAGAAAACAGTCACGTTAATACATCAATACATTAATAATATTTAATATTGAATCGATTTCTCAATTGGATCAAGAAATGAACTACCTCGAGTTTAACATATGGTCCCTTATCATGCACTTATCGGGCATTGGTAAACATTCATTCTTTCTCGTGAACGCAGTAAATTCCCATTATAGAACAAACTTTCGTACCATTTGTTTCGGTTCTTCGGACTTAATTTTGTAATAAGATTTCTTTCGATGAAAAACTAAAATTGATCTGATATGGCTTATTAAAATTACTATATAAAAAGTTACCTTATTTATAATATTATTCAATTCTTCTCATTTTAAAAAAAAAAAACTTCGGGTTGAACATCCGCCTCGAAATAATCCTTTTATGTGGATTTTTATTTGGGAAAATATTACAAAATAAATACATAAAATAAATACCATTGTTGATCACAAGCCCTGCATATAACCGTATAATCATTTTTAGAATATTCTAAATCGGCATAATCCGCCACAGTTTTTAGTTAAATTAACTGACGATGATATTATCTTTCATTATTCAAAAAGACAATGGATGTTTCACAAATCCCAGCCCGACCTTAGTTTGTCAAAACTTACATCATTCGCCACACACTAACCTATTGAAGTAGATGTTAATAATATTATTAAGAATAGGGGTTTTGTTGATAGTTTCATTATGCATACAATATATCCCAAAAAATATTTCTTATGTTACGTATAAAAAAAAAACCTAAAAAAAAGTGTAACCCATGTCTTAAATACAAATTACTTTCTTATCTTATTCCGCTTCTTTATAATTTTACCATTTATCCTTAACGTTTGACTATCTTGACCATTGTTGAAATTCTAAAATACTTAAAATAATTTTGATGGACAAAAGTCTCCGATATCATGGGGTGTATATCATATACTTCATTATATACTTCATTATATACTCCATTATTCAGTTATGATGTTCGTTAGAATATATATATGAATATCATAATGAGCAACAAATATTGTCTTTCATACTGTAGTTCAAGGTGATTTCCTTTATACTACTGTATATATGCTAGGTAATTTTAATCCGCTTCTAAGAAAAAAAATTATTACCAGGATGATTTTCAAATTTCACATTGAAGGACACAATATCCAATGATATTTCATTGTTAGCAATGACAAAAAAAAATAAAAATAAAAAAGACAGTCAAGTTCAAATATATGAAATAAAGAACACAAAAAAATAGTATCAAATGCTAGTTTATCTTTATTTGTAACACATTTTGGGAAATATTTTTTTTTAATCACGCATAAAAATGTGTAATCTTTTCGATTTTCGGAAAGATTTCAAAGTAAGTTAAAAAAAGCCCAATTCCGCCAATTTTTTAACATGGATACGCAAGTTCGAGAAAAAGGAAACAAGAAAGATTGCATGACATAATCCAATATCCGAACAATTAAATATAACCGAGAAAATGAATTAAGCTCAATCATCAAAAATCATTAAAGAACCAATAATATTACAAAAAGTCGCGATAAAATTTTTTTTGTGAGTTTATAAGGAAATTTACTTCCCATGCTTATGCGCTCGTGGCGTGTAATCGTAATATTCATTTTTTATTAAGGCGTAAAAGTTTCATGCTTTAATTTTTCCATGTGTTATAATTCCCATACATGTCTTAATCAAATTTAATTTTAGGCAACCGTCCTCTCCACACGAGAAAGACTAAAATAATCTAATCATTTATTAATTTATTAATATTTTGCCAACCCATATTACATAAATAAATAAAATAAATAAGTAAATAAAATTTGCTGCAAAAATAACCGAAATCACAAAAAAAAAAAAAAAAAAAAAATTTTTTTTTTTTTTTTTTTTTTTTTTTTTTTTTTTTTGAAATGGTTTATCAAAATAAGCTTTAATTCGTGATGATGAAACCCTTTCTCGGAGACATGTAATTGATATATTAGCTGTTGTCCTCCCACAAGTAATGCATTGTGTGCATTTATATTTTAAGAGAACAAAGGCTACGTATATTAATTTCGATCCACTTTAAAATATCTTTAGATGCTAATTTGTAAATTGTTCATTTATTTTTGATATTTTTTAGTAACCATAAAGTATTGTTTCGCATCGAGATCTACGGATTACTAAAGATATAAAATATATAAAAAAAAAAATTTTTTTTCTATTTATGTCACATAATAATTTAATGACTCATCGAAAGTTGTTTTTTAAAATAGATTATTTAATTAGTGACCAACTGATTTCAAGACCGCAGGCCATACGTATGTACGTACATACGTACGTACGCACAGTACGTAATGCTATTAGATTATAATAGATAAAAGGATTATATCAATAAAGGATTATAAATCTTGTTCACGTGAGCATATTCAGATTACCATTACAGTACGTATTATATTTTACTACAATCATAGAGTCCGAAACTTTACAAGATACCGAATATGGTATTATGGATAATTATATGATAAGTCCGCCCAAAACTTTTATAATTATACGATTTACGGATTACGGAAGCCTGACATTGAATCTCACTACTTAATAAGTTAAATCATTCGAAGTATGTGAAGATCTATAAAAATGGCATATCGATATGGCGAAAAAATGAATTTCCTTAAAAAGATAATCGCCAAGAGCAGGGGCGGAACTTATGGCCGTTTGTTATTATTTTTTTTTGACCAGGGGTTGAAACAAAAGTTAGTATAACCTTGAATTCTTTGTTTATAAAAATAGATTTTCGGTTTTTTTTTCTTTTAGGTACAATTTATCTCTTTTTAGGTTTAATCGATTCTCCGTACGTCATTGTTTTCAACAATAACTTTTAAGATTTACAAATGATCATCGAGCCAGAATGCGATAACAATTAATGTCTATTAAGATTCCAAAGTAATTTTATTTTTCCTGATTGGTCACATATTTGTCTACATTAATAACTTTGAGACAATGATTTTATTTTTTTAAGTTATCGTTTAAATCGTTTCAAAAAAAAAAAAAAAAACAATTATTTTTCGTTTCAATATAGTTTTTGTTTTATTGTTTGTCAGTAGTAAGACTATCGCTATCGATATAAATATTGATTCATCGGCATATTTTATATTTTACAAGTCTCACCCTGAAAATGTTATTACAAAAAATTTTCTATAATGAAAATCTCGGCAACATTTTTCTACTATAGTCTATATGTAATTGAAAATCCGAAAAGCTCTTCAAGCTGAGATTGGATATTATCAATTTCAGCAGCATTCTCATAATTTCTTGTAAAATGTAAAGTAATGTAAAATAAATGTAAATGTTATTTCTTTTTTTTTTTAGGTAAAATTTGACTACGTGGGCAATTACAACATTTTATTAATAATTTAAAAGTATTATATCTTTAGTGTGTATATACGACATATGTAATCATGAACCGTACAACAACATTGATATTGGGTATTGGGTCAACTATGATAATAATGATGATAATAATAATGAAATAAT